CTGTATTATTACTACTTTTACTTAAAGGGGACCTATCATGCAAAATGCACTTTTGTACGTCTTTTATACATGAATATGTGTCCCCGGTGTTCCAGGGAACTCACCAAGTGTCAGAAAACACAACCCTCTCTATTTTCCTCCATACCCAAATCTCTAATAAAGGGGCTGCAACGGATCTGATAAAAACTGATCCAGATTTGAACACTGTCCTGACGTCAGGACGGTGGCGCTACGGCTATTGGGCCAACTCTCCACCTATCAGGGGAATGTGGGGTTGGGCCACGGCCGGCCATTGCCACTCGAAAGCGATGGAGACGCTGTAGTACATATGCCAGGCCTGTAAGTGGCGCTGTAGTCTGCCACAAAAGCAGCGAAGTAGACTTCCCGCGCATGGTTACCATGGTTACCCTTCTGTTTATTCTCCGCTGTGGCTTTTTTTCTCCCTCCCCGAGGCAAGCGTTTGCTCCTGCTGCTTTAATTCAATGCAATCCCTCCCCGTCGAGGCAAGCACTGTAATTCTCTCCGGTTAGTCCACCAGCAGATGACAAACACCCACCTCTCCGCCTCTTCCAAGGAACGAGGGGACCGTGCGGCAGAGTTTCAGTTAGGTTTTCTTTCGCTGGTCAAGATGTCCGTTAGTTTAAATCTTCCGGACAAAATTTGAAAAGTGCCGGTCAAAGGTCTTCTTTGTTATTTATTGGGCTTTAAAACAAATGAATAACGACTCTATATAATAATAGGCTATAATAAAACACGGAGGACGGAGATCTATTTTTCTCCCCCTCTTCTGACTTGATCAGAGCGGCTCCCCTCTCCTGCAGGGGGGCGTGGTCAGCTGCAGCTCACAGAATCAGCCCCCTGCAAAAACAGGGCTGGAGAACAGCAAATAGAGCGAAATGAGGCATGGCTAAAATGCATGATCTGTTTGGTATTTTGAAAACAGAAACTTATAAATATACCTTATATAGGTATGGCCCTACAATATATCATTTAAATATAGCATGATAGGTCCACTTTAAGTAAGTTATGTTCTCATGCCATCCTTATAGGGTGTTTGGTTAAGGATCTGACTATTTAAATCTCACACATTTGAGCAGAGCAGCTTAACATTACAGCAATATCTGAATTCAGAACTCCTTGTTACAATTATCTCTACAAGAGAATTGCATACCCAGCAGAAGCTCTGATTATGTGTTGCTGCATTCATCAGGGAAGTCATTAACTGAACAATTATAATCTACAACATGTGTATGTTATTGCATGACAAAGCACAAATGTAACTGATGCTCAAAGAGAGAAAGGTACTATTAAATGTCACATTAAATCTGTTTCTCAGGTATGTTTCTTGTAAGCTGAATAGAAATACTCTGTGCATTAGTTCATTTTCAGAAAGTAGCCTGATATATAAAGCGACTTCATCTTTTTAGAGTATAAGAAATATAATCAAATACCCTGTCATATTTCATTGTTGGGACCGTCCTTCTTGATAAAATGATATGTCTGGCATGAGCAGCAGGTTTCATTCTGCCTTATAGGAGAAAAACCCAAATGAGATTTTCCCTAACTCAATATTGAGAAGGTTACTAGATATTTGAAACTTTTGTTACACTAAACCACAGGATTATGTGATACAACTCCTTTCTTCTCAGATTCCTTGCACTTTCCTTTTTTTTCACACTTCTTTGATGTATCAAAATATATATATTTATGAATGTTGTAGTATAGGAGAATGGCACTTTTGTACAGGATTTCTTTCACACGTCAGTAATTGACAAACTTACTTGCTGTATTTCATGATGTGTTTAATGGCTGCAGGAAAAGTTAGCATCATTAGGCGCTTTCACACCGCAGTACTTTTCCCACTTTAGTTCCGATATAGTTCCGAAATGTTGCGTTCACACCAAAAAAATCCGGAACTAAAATTTGTTCATGAGAACCTTTTTACCACCTTTTCCCAGGGACTTTCGTGGGAGAAAAAGGTTCCTATGTCTGATTGGCTGGGCGGAATGCCCCGTAAAACTCCAAAAAGGTTTTGTGAAGCCGCCATTTTATTATCCTCGCATTAGCATTATTAGCATTAGCATTCGTCATCATCATCGGCGGTCACTCGTAGTCGAGTATGACTGTCCTCCTTCTTGGTCCTTGTGGGTCTTCAGGTGGGCATAGAGGCCGATTCTGGACCCGATTATTCTTGTGCAGTGTGGACAGGGGAATGTAGTGGTGGAGGGTTTGGGTTGGACCTGTTTGATGGTTGCTCTCTCCTTCCTGAGTCTGCACTTGTCTTGTTCAGCATGGCAGAGGTCATCATTATATAGTGCAGCACCCTCACGGACAAGGTTTCTCCAGGTCGCCCTGTCTGTTGCCATGTCTTCCCTAGCTTTTAGGTCTATGTGGCACTTCTTTAGGTTTGTTTTTATGTTATCTTTGTACCTCTTCTTTTGGCCTCCAGGGACCCGTTTCCCTTTAACAAGCTGGGAATAAAGGACTTGTTTTGGAAGGCGAGAGTCAGGCATGCGGATAACATGGCCAGTCCATCTGAGCTGGTTTTGGGCAATGGTGGCAGTGATGGTGGGAATGTCAGCCTCCTCCAGGACGCTGGTGTTAGTGCGCCGATCCTCCCAGCTAATCCTGAGGATTTTTCGGAGGGATCTCTGATGGTATGCCTCAAGTGCCTTTAAGTGCCTGCTGTATGTGGTCCAGGCTTCTGATCCATACAGAAGAGTGGGGAACACCACAGCTTTATAGACCAATATTTTGGTCTTTGCTTGGAGGTCACGGTTCTCAAAGACTCTTCCTTAGCCTTGAGAAAGGCCCACTGGCACAGCTGAGGCGATGGTGTATTTCATCATCAATAACAGCTTTTGATGATAGGAGGCTGCCAAGGTATGGGAAGTAGTCCACATTTTCCAGTCTGATGTTGTCAATGGAGATGTTTGGGGGTAGGACAGGCGTACTGCTGTTTGGTGGTGGTTGGTGGAGGATTTGAGTCTTTTTTATGTTGATGGCTAGACCAAGCTGTTTGTATGCTTTCACAAAGGCTGATAGGATACCCTGTAGGTCCTCTTCCGAGAGGGCTACAAGGGCGTTGTTGTCCACATACTGCAGCTCCATGATCGATATGGTGGTGGTTTGACCTTTAGCCCTGAAACGGTTGATGTTGAGGAGTTGGCCGTCAGTTCTGTACATGATGTTGACTCCCTGGGGCAGATGCTTGCTTGTGAAATGTAGGATAGCAGCAACAAAGATGGAGAATAGCGTTGGAGCGATGACACATCCCTGTTTGACTCCTGTGTCGACCCGGAAGGGTTCAGTTTCGTCTCCACTGCCACTGAGTACCGTGGCTGATATATAGTCATGCAGCAGTCTCAGTACCCGGATGTATTTTTCTGGGCAGCCAATCTTTGCCAGTACCAGCCAGAGGGCCTGACGGTTCACTGAGTCGAAGGCTTTGGTGAGGTCTATAAAGGCCATGTATAATGGTTGATTTTGTTCCCGGCATTTTTCTTGCAGTTGGCGAGTAGTGAAAATCATGTCTGCCTCTGTTTGGGCGAAATCCACTCTGAGACTCAGGAAGGATGCTTTCTGACAGGGGGGTGAGTCTGATGGCCAACACCCGAGCTAGGGCTTTCCCTATGGTGGACAAGAGAGAAATGCCACGGTAATTTCCGCAGTCTGCCCTGTCTCCCTTCTTAAATATGGAGACAATTAAGGCATCCCTAAGCTGAGCAGGGATTTCCTCTTCTTCCCAGATTTTGAGAAGCAGGGCATGGATGTGCTTAAGAAGATCGGGTCCGCCTTTCTTCAGGACTTCTGCTGGGATGCCGTCGGGCCCAGCAGCCTTGTTGTTTTTCATATTCTTAATGGCATCCAGCACCTCACCCAGGCTGGGTGGTTCTCCCATGCTTTCAACTATGGGCTGTTGAGGGAGTTGGTCAAGAGCCTCCATCCTTATAGTGCTCTTTCCACCTGTTTGCTATTGCATCCTTGTCCTTCAGAAGCAGGAGCCCATCTTTAGAGCGGAGGGGGGTTAGGCGGCGATAGCTGGGACCATATACCGCTCTTGTGGCATCAAAGAATCCTCTTGTATCACCAGAGTCGGCAAGCTGCTGGATCTCCAGAGCCTTCTTTGTCCACCACTGGTTCTTCAGTTTCCTAACTTGCGTTTGGACGGCTGCCTTCGCTTTGGCATGGGCTGCTCTTTTCACCTAGCAGTGGATGTTATTTTGCCAGGTGATGAAAGTTTGCCGCTTGATGTCAATGATGATGATGATCCTTGCATTAGCATTATTAGCATTATTAGCATTAGCATTAGCCCAGCGCACAAACGCAGAGAGACTAACTTATGGCAACACAAAAGAAAACATGGGAGCGGTGGAGATGAGGAGGTGTCGGCGTTCTGGCGATTTACTCGGAAGGCTTCAGTAGAAGCTGCTGGGAGTCCCAGCAGCTTCTACTGAAGCCAGTCCCCAACTCCGGGGACTTCCGGCCGGGGACTTCGGGTGGCAGTATACGCCGTGAAGTTGTTTGCGGCCTGCCAGTAAACCCAAAGCAGAAGAAGAAGAAGTGACGTCAGCGGCTTCATTTGCCTAATCCACCCCCAGGGACTTATTCCGGTGTGAACGCGATCTGTACTTAGTTCATGAGAACTGAAGACTTCTCATGAACTAAGTTCTGATGAACCTTTGTGGGAAAAGTACTGCGGTGTGAAAGCGCCTATTACATGTTGAAGTCATTGTTGTATAATGATAAACTGATGTAGGTAAAGTAGAGTATTGTGAATCGTTAAGATTTGTATTCCTTATTAGGATAAAGTCACCGATACAATTACATGTCTGCTAATGAACGGGTCATTTTACAGTTCATGATTTGGCAGAAAGCCTTTACACTACAAAGACAAATTGTGTCACCCATAATTATTTTACTATAAGTGTTGTTATACGGACAGTCAATATACTCATTGATGTTACATTTTATTTGAATGTTGTGTCATTGTCCCACAGTGCCTGCCTCAGTGCCGATGGAGTCCCTGCAGAACACGCCCTACGAAGAGAAGATCTTCATGCAGTGGAAAGCTCCCAATGAGACCAACGGGGTCATCACACTGTATGAGGTCAGTCAAAGAGTTCCGACTCACGCTCACTGCACACCATACAAGGTCATGTTACAGATCATTGGTTTGAACCCATACTGGAAAGCTAACTAAATCTGCAGTGTGTAAGAATTAGAGGGTTGCAAGTTGAATTTCATTATGGATGCTATTCAAAAAAAACTGTGGCAAATTCTAATTACAGAAAAATAAGTTATGTGTTAGTCATATGCAAGGTGAAATTGGTAGAAAATACACTTATATGCAGGACTATATGAACACAATGAATTCAAATTCTTTTGAAAGGAGAGTCAGAGTTGGAAATGAAAAGAAAGTGGAAGAAAGACTTCTCCCCAGACAGTCCTTGAAACAATGTTTGGGAGTGAGTGAGATAGAGAGATATATTGCCATTTTCACTTTTTGTGTGTGTGTGTGTGTGTGTGTGTGTGTGTGTGTGTGTGTGTGTGTGTGTGTGTGTGTGTGTGTGTGTGTGTGTGTGTGTGTGTGTGTGTGTGTGTGTGTGTGTGTGTGTGTGTGTGTGTGTGTGTGTGTGTGTGTGTGTGTGTGTGGTTGTAGACGTTTTATTCGGGTTGAAGTTGAGTTGAGCCCTCCATCTAATGAATTATTGACCCATTCTCTGCCTCCTGTCTGCCTCTTATATCACTGCATCAAGGAGCTACCTCACACCAAGACCAGGCAGGGCTATTAGTGTGTGTGTGTGTCAGGGTTTCCGTTAGCCGGTAATTACCGGTTTTTGGCTGGTAAAATGTATTCAAAACCGGTAAATTCAAAGCCTGCCAGTCAAAATGTCCGGTAATAATTAGGGATGCTCCGATCGATTGGCCGCCGATCATTATCGGCCGATATTCACTCTTAATAGTTTGATCGGTGCTCTCTATAAAGGCCGATCAGGAGAGCTGGATCTGATCGATATGGACATAAACGCGAGTGAAGTATAACCGGACGCGAGAGAGAGATCAGAGATCAGATCAGCTGCTGAGTCTGACGGAGACACGCAGCTCTGCATGATCACCTGAAGCCCCGCCCACTGTTTAGCGCGCTGCATGAGATACAGACGGGCTGTCAGGAGAGAGAGGGGGAGAGAGGAAAAGAGAGGCTCTGTTTCTCCCGTGTTATTATTCAAAGTTAATGTAAACTTTTGAATAATGTACTTTATCTACTACAAGTAGTTTGTTTGAATGTAATAATTATGTTGTTTGTTGTTTGTGGAATCATTTATTGAAAAATGAATCTGAACTTTTCGATCTGTTACGATTATAAACTGAAGCAATATAAAAATGAGCCCCATTAACTGAGTTTTAAACATCAGCATATCCGGTCATAGTCCGCTAATTACCTGCTAACAGAAACTCTGCTACACAATTATTATTATTATTATTGTTGAAACATGACCGGTAAGTTTCAAATTTGTCCGGTAAAATAAATTATTTCCGGACATTTGACCGGCAGGAAAAAATCCTAGCGGAAACCCTGGTGTGTGTGTGTCTGAAAAAGGGTGAAGTACCAAGCAAAAGGCATGTGTGTTCTTGGTTAAGTTGCTGAGTTTTTGAGTGAGTGTGAGAAAGAAAGTGACTTGGCAAGCGATACAAAATGTGTGTACGAGACCTAAGTGAAGTACTCAGTGAGAAAGTGTGTTGTGAAGTTTCTGAATGTGTATGTGTGTGTGTGTGTGTGCATGGTTTTGAGAAGGGGAATGTGTTAAGTCGGGAATGTGTGGTGGAAATGTGTAAGAAAATGACATCAGTGTTTGAGTAAGTGTGCGTAGTTTGGAAAACCTGCCTCTGCAAACATGAAACACATCTTGATAATACTCATCAATAAATCTAGTATCTTTCTATTATTCCTTTCTTTAAACATGTTTAAAAATGGCCATCAATTCCCATAGTTCAATACTGAATCATGAAATCACTAACGTTTTTAGTGGCCAGCAGAGGCGATAGTAATATAGTAGTAATAGCATGTGCTACAAAGACCCAAAACACTTCAAAAAGGAGAAACGCACTGCAATAAAAAAAATGATGCAAATATAACAACAGGCTGGTTCCAAAACACATGCAAATGAAGAAACATCTTCACCTACTGTACTTAATAAAACATACGCAGCGTTTACTAAGACAGCTGCAAATAAAAAAATCTGGAAGAAGCTCAAAACACAACGGAAACGGGGACAGTAAAAAGTGACACACACAGCTGGGACCAGTGCTTGTGCTTGTCGACGTTCAGGAATTATGAAGTAGGCCAACTGTCACTGTCAGCAGAGTCTGTTTCATAATTTTAAGTGTTTTCTTAGTACATTTGAAATGACTAGGGGAGGCTGTGGCTCAGCTGTGGCTCAGTGGTATAGTGCGCTGAACTTAGTGCGCTGAACTTTGAATCAGGGGATAGCATGTTCAAGTCCCACTACAGTCAGCATGTCGTTGTGTCCCTGGGCAAGACACTTCACCCCACATTGCTCCTGATGGGATTGCCCACAGTACTGAATGTATGTAAGTCGCTTTGGATAAAAGCGTCTAACAAGTGACAAGTGACATGTAATGACTAGGTTAGCTTTAAGAGCTAGCTAGCTTACAACAGATCTTACAATAATATCGGGAGGAATCATGTGATGACATTGTTAAAATAAGCCAATAAAACGTACATTTTAGGTACGTTTCCAGTACTGGTGACAGTTGGCTAACTTTATCATCCCTCAACCGGAACAAGTAAAAGCTGCTCAAGTTACGTCAAGTTGATAAATGTTTTCTAAATGCTGCACATGTGTGTTCAAGTGGATGAAGAAGTTTCTTCATATGCATGTGTTTCTGAAACTGCAGCGCGTTTCTCCTAATAAACGTGGTTTGGGCGGTTTTAACGCGTATGCCCCTGTAGGCCACCGTAATTGTTTCAATAAAAATTATGTAAAAAACATTGGAAAAAGTGCAAAAATCTTGCATTTGAGAAGCCTGGAAAAACAAACGTTTGACATTTTATTCAACATACGACTACATTAATTCTTAATCTGAATCTTTTGACTTAGCGTTTCTGAACTCTACTGAACATATTTCAAATGTGTGTTCTTCATATTACTGTATAGCTGCTCTCTTTTACATCATATTCTCCCATCTTCTATCTAATTACCTCTATTTTCTCCCAAGCCCTCTCTATATCCATCTCCAGTCTCTCGGCTCTTTCTGTGCAGCTAAAAGACCACTTAGCACCATCTCTTAGACCTCCATTAGACCTCGAACCCAGAGCTTGAAAAAACACTCCTCACAGTTAATAAACCTCTGGGGACTATCATCAGTTTGGCCTTGTTTTGTGTCTGTTTCATTAATGTGGATCTAAGCTCCCTGCCCTCTCTGCCCGGGCGGAGGCGGCACGACTCAGCATCTGTTAAACATATCAGAGCCTCCACACAATGCGCTGCTATTAGAGATAATTACTATAATTGCAGCTATTGACAGGATTAAAGGCATCATCTGCGACATCTAAAGGGCCTCTTGTTGTATGCTATCCTGCTCTGTTGTCTCTTGTGTTCTCTGTTTTCTTCTCCTTCTGTTTCCCTGGCTTTTCAGGATAAAAAACAGATGAATTACACCCAGGACAATGACAGGAAAAGGGGGGGAATAGATTGGCGGAGGTGAATAATCTTGAGGAGAGATAAGAGAATGAGAAGAACACAGCGAGAACTGGGAGAGGAGATAAAATGTATTAAGTGGAAATGTGTCCAAAATTAGTAATTAATTCAGAGTGCAAATATGATCACTTCATCCCTTGCTTCTATTACTATAATTGCAGCTAATTACAGGATTAAAGGATACATCTGGGTGAGATCTAAAGGGACCGATCCCCCCCCCTTACCCCGTCTCCCCCCTCACTCCTTCTTGTCAAATTCATAAATGAGGAAGGATAAATAATGTCTGGGGCGAATAGTAGAGGGAGGAAGTGTGATGGATGGATGAAGGTATAGTGGGGAAAGACTTGATCAAATCTATATTACTCTGTCTTTTCCATGGATGTAGTAGGGAAGGACATTATTTTTAAAACGCCATCTTTGTGCTTAATCCTCTGTGATCTTTGTTTTTTTTAATCGTGCCACCAAAATAAAAATATTTACTGTACATTCATGTCTGTAGAATATGGAATAATCAAGCCTTGTAATCTGTTGTGTTATGTCCCATTTTCTTAATTCAACATTTACCATTTGGATTGAAAGTTAAACGAATAATCTGCTATACTCAACAGTAACCAGCAACTTTTGGAGATCAGGTAACATGATAAAACCAGATTAGACTTATTTAACGGAAGGTATTACTGTTATCTTCTTACATTGGCACGGCGGATTTAATTGGCACTTAATCGAATCAGTATTTCATTCTTAGCTGACAGTTACCGCTGATAAATGATTCCATCTGAACCTCCATTTTCAGGGCCAAGCAGGCGGCATTTTTGTCAAACTGAAAAACCTCTAATCCAAAATAATGACTGGCACATTTTGGATGAAACGGACATCATGGCAAGTGGACACAGTGGTTCATTTGAAATCCTTTGTTTCCTGGGCGAAATAGATTAGACAGAATTTGATACAGGATATTCACTCTGATCTTCTCAAACTGGCATGGTGCAGTTTAGTTGCTGGACAAGCTGTTGGTTGGGATTTAGCTGCATTTAGGGCTTACATGTGGGGATTGATACTATTGGTTTAACAAAAACAAAAAAAATCAAATGACCAAGATGTCTTGTGATTGAAAACAGAAAAAACTGTGCAAACTTATAATCATTTGTATTAGTATGTTTAGGTTCATGTTAGCTATATAAACAATCAGTTTGTCTATCTAAACATTGACTATTGAAAGCAATACTATTAAGTGGAACCTAATATTTTAACTTAATACTATTGCTTTCACCTAACCTAATACAATTATGTTTAATTTGTTGACATAATAAATGTAATTGAAGTCAACGTTTCAGTGAATTCAGTGCGTGCAATGGATGTTTTTTTAAATCACAGTAATATAATACAA